TTTTAGTTGTCCAGCTAATTTCTTTCTATTTTTTAGTAGAGACGGGGTCTCGCTCTTGCTCAGGCTGGTCTCGAACTCCTGAGCTCAACCGGTCGTCCCGCCTCGTCCTCCCTGAGTGCTAGGATTACAGGTGTGAGCCACCGCGCCCGGCCTATTTTGACCTTTTATACAGCAGCCAGACCCACATCCTAACATATAAAATTTAAAAAAAAAAAAAAAAAAAAGCAGTGAATTTAGGTTTATTAATAACTCTAAAAAGTATATTAGAAAAGAACTATCAATTTGTTTCCTGGAGTCCTGGTTAAGTAAAATACCACTTTTAATTAATAACCCTTAGGATTAATCTAGAAAGACTAAATATTCTTACTCAAGAGAACTAAAAATCCAGACGTTTTACTCACCTTTTGGATTTCTAAATGAGAGTCAGAGTCATCCAAAAACTCTAGGGGTGGCGAGCGTTTGTCAATGACTGTCCTTCGGTCACCAAGTGGGTCCTCGCCGGGTTCCTCCTGAGGGTCTATAACCACTCTCCTGTCACAGAAGTTGCTTCTCTCTAGCACAGTCTTTTCCTCCTCCACTCCCACCTCTGGGGCTGACTCTTTCTCTTTCTGAGAACTTGTGACCTTGACATTCCTAGCTGGTCCTTCTCCACTCCTGGTTGGTCCTTCACTCCTGACTGGCCCTTCTCCACGGCTGGGATGCTCTCCTGTACTTGGTTTTGCCCTAATGGTGGCCTCACCTTTCCTTTTTGGCATCGATTTCCCCAGGATGCCCTGAATAGCCTTCAGGTAGATCATTGTGGAGCCTTGGTCTCGAAGTCTATCCCTCTTCCTTTTCTGAACCTTGTTTGGTTCCTCAATTGTATCATTCTGACCCTCAGCTTCAGCTGCACATTCAGAGTTCATGGAGTTACGACAACTATCTTTGGAATCAACCTGGAAGAAAAAACAGACTTTGAAAAGACTGTCCCAAAGGCAATTTTGTAACATGAAGTATTTGGCAAGTTATAAATCAGTGGTGGTTCCACCAGCCAAAGGGAAAGTGACTGTGGTTAAGGCAAAGATTCTGTCCAGGTGGTGGTTTTCGTCCACCCCACTGAGAAGTGCCACTGTAAACGTGACTGAATTGCTGCCATTTCTTATTATTTACCTTCTGCTCATCAGGTGACATACTCTTACTAGAGTAGGAAAGAATGAGCTAAAATTAACAGCCGAATTATGCCAGACTATGAGCCCCTGGAACGCAAGGACTACCAAACACTTCAGAACACACACAGGCAAAACAGAAGCTCAGTTTTCCCACTGAAAAGGTCCTTAGAAACCAGCTAGCCCAATCCCACATCTAAGAGTCAAGGAAACCTAAAGACCCAGTGAGGGGAAGGGCTGGCTCAGGGGACCCCAATCTCCTGAGTCCCCAGTACAGTGTTCTTCCCACTTTACCCCAAGCCTCCTTAAAGCACTCTGCAAACGCCTTCCCTGAAATCATAACCTTGGTGTTGGAAGGTGTTTCAGTCTCCCAAAGAATGCACTGAGGTCAATCAGGAGACTCTAACTGCCCCCCAACCTTGAATCTCCTCAGAGACAGAGGGGAAGTCTCAGCCCCCTTCATCATTTCCCTTCCACATCCACTCACTCCAGGAGTCCACAGGGAAACAACTAGATTATTTGTCTGCAAAATTTGCTGTGGAAACTCTGATTCAGTCTAATCCCAGCCTGGTATAAGAACACTCCATAAATCTCCCCTAGAGCCATTCCATAAGCAGTGGACCATTACCCAAGGCAGTCTACAGCCTCTAAAATAAAACTTCTCTTTCATTTGTATTAAATTCCTCTCAAAAGGAAATATACCCAGGGAAAGGAACTCCACATACCAAGCTCACTAATTCTTTTCCTCTACTGAGGAAAAGAGGAGTCTATGAAAAGGAATGTCCAGAAATAGGGGACTGGTTAAAAAACAGACACATACCATAAAACTATGGTCCCCTAGCCCCAGGCTGTGGACCAGTACACCAGTCTGTGGCCTGTTAGGAACCAGGCCACACTGCAGGAAGTCAGCAGCAAGCGAGGGAGTGCATTTACAGCTGCTCCCCATCCTTCGCATCACAGCCGGAGCCCCACCTCCTGTCAGGTCAGCTGTGGCATTAGATCCTCACAGGAGCGCAAACCCTACTGTAAACTGCACGGGAGGGATCTAGGTTGCGCGCTCCTTATGAGAATCTAATGCCTGATGATCTGAGGTGGAGCTGAGGCGGGGATGCTAGCGCTGGGGAGCAGCTGCAAATATAGGTCATCATTAACAGAGAGGTCTGACTGCACAGAGACCATAATAAATCAACTGCTTTCAGATTCATCAAAACCCTATCAGTGAGGGGCAAGTGACAATGTAATAATAGAAATGAAGTACACAATAAATGTAACGCACTTGAATTATCGTAAACCATGCCTGCCCCCAGCTGTGGAAAAATTATCTTCCATGAAACCAATCCCTGTGCCAAGGGTGGGGACCGCTGTTGTAAAACACATTGCAGCTTTAAAAAAGAAAAGTTGCTCTAATGTTCATGCTACATAATAAAAGTAAAAAAAACAAGTAGCAGACTAACAAATACAGGGTACTCTCACTTTTGAAAAGGCAAAAATACTGTGTATGTATATACTTACAAACAAAGCCTAAAAAGATAAACTGTTTATAATGGATACCTTTGGAGCATGAAGTGGAAAGAGGCTTAGGCTCTTATAAGCTTCTTGTACAGTTTGGCATTTTTTCCTCCAAGAAGCACATAGTATCTTTGTTTAAAAAAAAAAATAACTTTAAAAGGCCAGGTGCAGTGGCTCATACCCGTAATCCTAGAACTTCGGGAGCCAAGGCAGGAGAATTGCTTGAGGCCAGGAGTTTGAGACCACCCTGCGCAACACAGTAAGAACCCCATCTCTTAAAAAAAAAATTTTAAATTAGCTGGGCATGGTGGTGCAAACCTGTAGTCCCAGCTGCTCAGAAAGCTAAGCCAGGAGGATTGCTTAAGCCCAGGAGTTCAAGGTTACAGTGAACTCTGATCACACCACTGTACTCCAGCTTGGGCAACATAGTGAGACCCTATCTCAAAAAAAAAAAGAAAGAAAAATCATTATCCTGATTCAAAGACTAGAGGAAAAAAATAAATTTTTCTAAAAATCATTGAACCTTTGGAAGTATACACAAATATAGGTGTTAGTATAGGCATAATAATTTTTTTTTTGAGACAGCGTTTCACTCTATTGCTTGGGCTAGAGTACAGTGTCATCATCATAGCTCACTGTAACCTAAAACTCCTGGGTTCAAGCAATCCTCCCGACTCAGCCTCCCAAGTAGCTGGGATTACAGGTGCTCACCACCACGCCCAGCTAAGTTTCTCATTTTTTTGTAGAGATGGGGTCTTGCTCTGTTGCTCAGGCAGGTCTCAAACTCCTGGCCTCAAACAATCCTCCCACGTCACCCTCTCAAAAATATGACGATTACAGGCGTGAGCCACTGCACCTGGCCTAGGCATAATATTTTTTTCTGGAAATACTCAAATTGTTGGCAGCTGCTAACTTTGGGGAGATGAACAGGAAAGGTTGCTTTTACTTTCATTTTAACCTTACTGAACTTACTGAATTTTTCTACTTTCTTGATTTTCTAACGTGTCTACAGCGATTATCTGGGCAAGGAGATCATGGGCCATTTTTGTTTTCTTTATACCTTTCTATATTTAATTCTGGTAAATGTTAACACTAAACTTGAAACTGCCTGGGCCTGCCCTGTAGTCACAGCCTGACTTCCCAGCTACTCCTCCACTGCCCACTTCTCTGACTGCCACCAACCACCTGCCATCCTTGGCCCATCACGCCCTTACACACTGTCATTGGCACATCTTATTTCTATCCGTCAGAAAGGCAGCTGCTCCTCACCTCAAGCCCACTGATGCCACTTGGGAGTACAGACCCAGAGTTAGAGATTCTGGTTTTTCTCAAGTGAAACCATAAATCTTGAATTTAATGCATTTTTCATCCATACAGCAAGTACTTATTGAGAATTTACTCTGTGCCAGCAGGCACTATTCTGCAGGTTTAGCATTCACTAAAACATACAGAAACAAGCTGCCTCCTGCAGCTGATCTACAGTTGGTGAGGGAAGAGAAAACCAGAGGAAAGACAGAGCAAATAAGTGAAATATATATGTTAGAGTGATAAATAACACGGAGAAAAATAAAACAAGGAAAGGGAATAGAAAGTGAGGAGGGGAAGATCACCCAAGTCTGGAGTTCAAAGCAGGGATTTGGGCTGAGGTCATAAATTCTTAATGTGAATTTGCAAAAATTTAAATACTATGGGGACCTTGCAGGCTACATTCAGTCCATGGACAAGCAGTTTGCCAACCCTGGTTGGGAAGCCCGGGACTGTAGTTGGGGGAGAAAAAAGATTAGGAATACAATAACATAGTGTATGTTTTTGCATGGATTTACAATTTACAGAGCTGCCACAGCTGTCAGTCCTCATTTACAGAAAAGGAAAGTGCCACACAGCTTGTAAGTGGCAGAAACAGGATTCAAACTCAAGTCCTCCCTAACATCCTGGAAACCAAGCGAGAAGAATGGTGGAAATATGAAAGTGAGAAACACTATCAAAGGCTGTAGGGGTCCCAAAGACACTGAGGCCCTATGATGGATCAAAGTCACTGAGGAAGAGTTTCAACAGGTGATAAGAGGCTCTAAAGGTAAGGAGTAGGCAGAACGTGGGCAGAAAATGAGAAGAGACAAACTACCTGCTTCAAAAATGAGATTTCATTCTTCCCAGCAGCACTGCTTGGCGAACTGTGCATCTCCAGAGAAAGGAGGGGAAGATCAAATAGAGACATTGCTCCAGCCCCACTACCACTCACCTGAACAACCACAACGGTTCCCAGCCAGCTCCCTGCCTTCTCCCTCCTAGCCCTCCTCCACAATGTGCCAGAGGAGCTCTAAAATGCAAATCCCACAACAGCATGCCCCAGCTTAAAACCCTTCAATGGCTCTGCATTTGCCTATAGAACACATCTGAAACTTCTGAGCTCATCAGAAGCCATCCCCTCAGCCTTGCTGCCCAGCATCGTCTCCCATCTTTCTCCAAACACCCAAATGTCCAAGGAATGCAGAAAGGTGTTAGGGAAGGGGAGGAGGCCCTTGGGGCCAGAAGTGCCCAAGCACTGCAGACAAGCAGCATTTCCTGACACCTTTTGGGCACATCCTATTCTCTATGCCTGAAATGTCCTTTGTTCCTCCTTGCCCATCAGAACTCAGATGCCAGCTCTTCTGTGAAGACCTCCCCAATGGTTAGACACTCATTCCTCTGACCCTCGCGTACTTCAAACATTCCTGTTACAGCACTCTGTTCACTGCCCTGTAGCAAGTGATTTCTCAGTCTGTCAAGTACTGCCTTACTGTCCTTGGTTTTTGTAAAATAACTTCCCAGCCCCTAGCACTCTCCACCCAAGCGCTGGACATCTGCCAAGGGAAGATGCGGGAAGTGGGATATTGTGAAAGATCTATCAGTAGAGAGCCAAGATACTCAATGGTTTACTGTGTCTGGGTGTCTCCCCCTGCACAGCACTCATCAAGGGAAGGACCTTGCTGCCTTCATCTCTCCACCCCTCGCATCTGATGCCAGGCCGGGGCACAGCAAGTGCGCCCAGAGGCAGCAGTGCAAAGCATACTGGCTTTGAAGTCAGACCAATCTGGGATTATCCCACAGCTCTCCTGCTTACAAGCCACATGGCCTTGGTCAGATTATTTAACCTTTCCAAGTCTCATTTTCCCACTGCCTACACATAGTAGGTGCTCAAGTATTTGTTAATTGATATGAAACTATTTGTTGACTGATATGCAGAGATAATACCACCTACTTCATGAGCCTCTTAGGAGGATGTGACAGTCTATAGGTCAAACACTGAGAATCACAGTTGTTCAGGGTCTATCACATCATGAATGCTCAAATTTTCCCTTCCATTCTTCCTTCCCTAAATTGAATGTAGCAATTTAGATATGTCATAATAAAGACTAAATATAGAGTACATGAAGGTGCTCATAATACAGTTAACCTCCTCTATAAAGAGTAAGCTAAGATCATAAGGGTAACATTAGAATTTGAGAAAACCTCTCAAAGGGCTGTCAAGAAGGGAACAGCGTGCGGTCAGCCAGCAGTGATTCTAAAACGCCCAGCCTAACATCTCCCCCTCTGAATATTCTGTGACCTGGCACAGAGCCTCTGTGTTGAAGGCGAGGGGAAAGGGACACAAAGCCAAGTGTGTACCCCTCAAAGTTTACGGAGCAGACACAGAATGGCAGGACCTGGGGGAGATTATGCCATTTTTCTGAGTGCCCCTTAGCTGTACTTGCTGACAGGACTTAGGACTTATTAGACAAACAAGCTCACACACGGCAGAGCAAGGGGGGAGGAGGAGCAGTTGCAGGGGAAAAGAGGCATTTTGTAATTCATCACGATGAGTAAAGTACTGTACCTTGTTTTTAAACTGACAAACACACCCTCTAGAGAAAGACCTTAGCAGTGGTAGCGATGGACAATTAGGATATCAAAATCTTCATTCAACAGGAGTGATCTTTCTACAATGCAAATCTGTCTTTCCTCTGTATAGAGCCCTATATAAATATCCTAAGGGCTTAGAATACAATCCAAATTCCCTTAGAATAAAACCCATTGGCCACAGGATAGAATCCAAATTCCCTTAGCTCCTAAGACCTTGCTGTGATCTGCCCCTACCTAGCTCTCCAGAGGCCCACTGTGGGCAGTCATGTGACCTCTCCAGCCCTCCCACCAGACTATGTGTTCCCAAGAAGCTGTCTCATCACTCCAAGACACAACAGAGTGGCACACAATAACCCTCAAGTGCTTCCTGAAACCATGAAACTGGCAAAACAAGGCCCCTCTGGCCTTAATGAGAAAGATGGGTCCGTCCTAGGATTAGACCCATCCAAATTAGAGGCCACACCCTCAACTCTTGAGTTCCCAGGACAGGACGGCCTGAGCCAGGGGATACAGCACACCTGAAAGACTAAGTAAATTCCTGCCTCTCCTGACACCAGGCTTCACTTTATCTGTAATTGTCAGCGAAGCTAAATTTAATCAATTGATATTTTATACTGTAACCAAGTCCTCTAAAATTGTATCAAGGAGGATTAATGACAAGATTACATTGTATGAGCAAAGCCCCATACTTACCGATTTACATTTGAGCCATAGTCGGTATGTTTATCTCAAAGACAGAGCTTTTCAACTCACCATTACTTGTGAATTAAAAAAGAAAAAAATCCATGTGCCCACACAAGAGTTCAGACTGCGAGGTCCACACTGCAAAAACCTGGGCACTTCGGGTTCCCCAGGATAAACAGCCAAATACACTTTCATTTCTCAGCTCTACATAAGAAACCACCAAGGAAAAGTTTAAAAATAAACCCACTTTCCTTAGGATTTTTTTTTATTGCTTTTGTAAAATAACATTCAGGGCAGCCCTTCTCATCCAAAATAAGGCTTTTTTCTCCACTCCTCCACAGGCAGAACTCCTCCTCCCTTTTGAAGGTCTGGAGCTCCAAAACCTAGAATGCCAACTCTAAGAAGGCCATATCTCTGCTTTGTTACCAAAGAATCCCAAACACCTAGAACACCAACTGGCACAAACTAGGCCCTCGATAATAACTATTTGTTCAAAGCCTGATTGAATGAGTGGATGAAATGTACCTTCTCTATGAAGCACTGCTCAGTCTGCCCCAAGTACTTTAGGAAACCCTCTTGTGTGCTACCAATGGGGCACTACACGTTTAACCTTCAAAAAAAAAAAAAATAAACAACCACAACAACAAAAAAAACATGCCACTAAGCAAAACCCAACATGTTGCAAACCATCACTTTGGTGAAAAGCCACACCAAGAACCACGTTCCTTGGTTCTGTGATTCAGAGTGGTTCAGAGTACAAAGGCACAATTCCTTAGACCGACAACCAAACCAAGTAACATCTGCGTCTCTAAAGCATGCCCTCCACCTTCTGCTGCAGTGATTCTCCAATCTGGCTGCACATTTACAATTACCTGGGAAGCACTTAAAAATATGGAAGCCCAGATCAACACTAGGTTGATCACATGGCAGAAATACTCTCTAGGGATCAGGGGGATGGGGGGGCAAATCTACAACTAAAGGACACGGGGAACACTAAAGGGAGGGAAGGGCATGCCTTTAACCCGCACTTGGGTGAGGCAAAGACATAAACTGTAACTATGTTTATACCCTCACAATACCCTGGATTAAAAAAAAAAAAAAAAAAAAGTGCAATGTGCACCACCCGAAGGATAGACATATTTGAAACTCGGACTTAGGGGGGGTAGGGGGGCAAGGGCAACATATGTAACTAAAACATCTGTACCCCCATAATATGCTGAAATTAAAAAAAAAAAAAAAATGGAAGCCCAGTCCACACCCAAGCCCAATTAAATGAGTTTCTCTAGGATGGGAGGTATTTTTAAGCTTTCCAAATAGTTCCAGAGTGCTGCCAAGTTTGCAAACTACCTCTCTACTGAACTTCCAGGCCACCCCAGGCAGACTGCTTGGTCTTCCGAGTTTGGGTAGAGTAGACTTCTGGAACACGCCTGAGACCTTCAAACACATGATCTTTTTTAGTCTCCTTCCACCAAAATTCCCATCCTCCCCTCTCAAGCCAAGTGAAAGGGACTTCACCGATTGCAAGGCGTGGCAGCCACCTACCTTAAGGCTGCAGGCTTCCTCCTCTAGAGAAGCCATTTCTTCTAGAGAGGGGTCGGCAGGGCGTAGAGGGGATCCCCCTGACGAAAGGAACCCGCGAGTGCTCCGAATCAGGCAGCCTTTGGATGCGGCCCCGCCCACACCTGGGCCGGAAGAAGGGGAGGAGGAGGAATTTCTGCCTCGGGATGAGCCCCAGGATAACCGCGGCGTGCAAGCCACATCGTCCTCCTTCTGGGCTTTCAGGCGCTTGGGGCTGCTGGCCCTTCCTGAACGCGACACAGAGCTATGAGCTGGCCGGCTGGAGGGGGCCACATCACTGGGCTCCCGGAGGCAGCTGCGCTTGCTGGGACACCCTTCCGACGCGCTGCTCCAGTGGTACTTGACCTTGCGCCGCTCCGACGCCATGGGCACCTGCAAGGTAAAGGGGGCCTGGATTCCAACACCATCCTTACTGGCTGCCGCAGCTCAAATTCCCGCCACCCCGGTCCCCCTAAATGGGGGACCAAGCCAGAAGGTCAGAGCCAGGGGCTGGCCTCACTGACCTTTCCCTCTTCTTTCCACTGCCCATCACAGTTCTCAAGGTTTCAGAGACGCCAAAGCGCTTCGACTCAGTTTGCAATTCCAAAGCGCTTCGGAGAAGTCAAAACGATCCGAAATTTACTAAAGGCTTCGGTTTGGTTTCCAAGCCCACAACGTGCTTCCGAGATCACCAAGCGCTTCAGTTTGCACGGCGCTACTTCGGAGCCGCCAAAGCGCTTCCGGGACTACAAAGCGCTTCGATTTAGTTTGGAATACAAAGCCCTTCAGAGCTGTCAGAGCGCTTCAAAAGACCACAAGGCGCTTTAAGGTCCCCACACGGCGGCCAGACCCGCAGCCCTAGGGCCAGGCGCGCGGCCCGAAGGCCCTGGCAGCCTAGGGCGGGCCGGAGGGCAGGCCCGGACCCGCGCAGCAGCCCGCCCTGCGCCCGCGGCCCCGCCGACCAGCCCTGGGCCGGAAGGGGCCCCAGCCGCCCCGCGGGAGCCGGTGGCGCCCCAGTCCGCCGTCTCAAGACAGAGCCCCGGCCCGCCTGGCCGCCGCGGCCCAGACGCCCGCCCTGCTGCCCCGCCGTCCCGCCTGGCCGCCCGCTCGCCGCCCGCCCCAGTCCTGCGGCCCGGCACGGACTCCGCCCGAGCTGCAACCACTCCGGCCTCCGCGGCGTCCGCCCTCCGGAACCAGCCCTGAGGCCCGCAGCCGGCGAGCGGCAGGGGCGGGGCCTGCGCCCAACGGAGAACGCCCATTGCTCGAATGGGCAAGGGGCAGGACTCCGGGCAAGATGGAGCCCGCCTCTTGGTCAGGAGGCTGGAAGGCGGGACTCTACGCCTTACGAAGCTCGTCCATTGGTTGAAAGCCAGACGGGGCGGAGCCACTCACGTGGGTTCGAAGAGCGCGAAGCTGAGGCCACACCGCAGTTCCTCAGGCCCGCCCTTTGTGCGCGTAGGGGGCGTCCGCTGACCCCATCTCACAACAGTGCTGCTCCTTGCTGCTCAACGTTGTCCCCGTCCCTTGCTGGACGCTTTCAGACCCGGATTCCTCATCGAACCTACACCAAACCCTGTGCAAAGCATTATCACCCCATTTAAAGAGCAGGAAACTGGCTCAAAGAGACCAAGTGACACACCCAGAAAGTGGCAGAATTAGAAGTTAGAAGCCACAAAAAGAGACTACACAAAAAGTAGACTGTCTACACGGCAAAAAATAGCAAAGGCGAGGTACAAATGTAGAAAAATATTTACAACACATGACAAAGGGCTGATGTCCTTACTATGTAAAAATTCTCCCAATAAGATAATTCAGTATTAAAATGGGCAAAGGAAATGAACTAATGAACAGAAACAAATTACCAAAGGCTCTTAAACATATGAAAAGATGGCTCCACCTCAGTCATTAAAACTGTACAAATAAAATTATAACTTTTCACTTATTAGATTGGCAATGATCAAAATCCGTGATAATATACTTTGTAGCTGAAGATGTGGGGAAATGCACTCCCACAGCACATATAAATTGGTACAATCTCCTTGGAAGGCAGCACTGTTTATAGTAGCAGAAATGAAAACAAAACTTCAATATCCATCAGTAGGAGCTGGTTGCATACAGTATGGAACATCCATACGATGAAATGTCAGGCAAAAAGAATGAAGTGATCTAAAAGTACTGTTAAACAATGGCCAAAAAAGATGAAAAAACAAAGGGTCTAGAAGAATGTGAATGAAATACCCCGTGTGTAGCTAAATAAAGGAGAAAGTGGGAATCTAAGATACATGTGGTTTTCTTTTTTCAAATGCCTGAAGATAACCACTTTGTGTTTGTTTCTAACAGCTTTACTGAGATATAATTTACATATCATAAAGTTCACCCATTTAAAGTATATGATTCAGGCCGGGCTTGGTGGCTCACGTCTGTAATCCTAGCACTTTGGGAGGCTGAGGCAGGAGATCCCTTGAGCCCTGGAGTTTGAGACCAGCCTGAGCAACATAGCAAGACCGTCTCTACAAAAAATTTAAAAAAGAAAAAAAATTAGCCAGGCATGGTGGCTTGAGCCTGTAGTCCCAGCTACTCCAAAGGCTGAGACAGGAGGATCATGTAAGCCCAGCAGTTTGAGATTACAGTGAGCTATAATGACACCACTGAACTCTAGCCTGCGCAACAAAGACCCTATCTCAAAAAAAAAGTGTTAATATATTTACAGAGTCATGCAATCATTGCCATAATCAAATTTTAGAACATTGTCATCACCCCAAAAATCTTGTGCCTATTATCACAACTCCCCATCCTAAACCTCCACATCCACACTCCTAGGCCACCGCTAGTCTAGTTTCTGTTTCTATAGATCTGCCTATTCTGGTAAAATAAAAATGGAATCATACAACACATAACTGGCTTCTACTTAGTATAATCTTTTCAAGGTTCATCTATGTTGTAACATGTATCAGTACTTCTTTTTTGTGGCTGAATAATATTACATTGTGTGGATATACCACATTTTATCTACTCATTAGTTGATGGACATTGAGGTTGTTTCTACTTTTTTCTTTTTGGTTATTATGAATAATGCTGCTATGAACGTTGGTTTGTAAGCTTTTGTATGGACATAGGTTTTCATTTCTCTTGGGTAGATATCTAGGAGTGGGATTGCTTGGTCATATGAAAACTCTACGTATAACCCTTTGAGGAACTGCCAAACTGTTTTTCCAAGTGCACCATTTTACATTCCTACCAGCAGTGTATGAGGGCTCCAGTTTCTCCACATCCTGGCCAACACTTGTCTGTCGTTTTAATCAAGAATCCTAGTGAATGTTAAGTCGTATCTCATTTAGGTTTTAATTTGCATTTCCCTGATGACTAATTGAGTACCAAGATAAAAAAAAATTTTTTTATTGTCTCTGGAAGGACACTCCAATCTAGTGACAGTGGTTACCTCTGGGAAGAAGACATTGGAGACTAAGATCTCAGTGGGAAAAAGCCTTGCTTCTCACCATGTAACCTTTATGTACTGTTTGGATTTTTTATCATGTTCATCTATTACCTTAAAAAAAAATTCAGGGCTTAGGAGTTGCAGTCCATGAAAGACATCGTGGTGTACCCATAAGTCCCTGGAATTCATATATAGACTTCTGTATGTATGTATTTACACTTTGCTGAGCAGAGACGGCCTATAGCTTTCATCACATTCTCAAAGGGGTTCACTGACTTCTGCAAAAATATATGACGCCCTAGTCTGGAAATTCG